GGTTGCACCATTTTACATTCCCACCAACAGTGAATAAGGGTTCCAGTTTCTCCACAACCTCAACAGCATTTGTTGCTTGCTGTTCTGTTAAATTTTGCTATTCTGACTGGGGTGAGATGATATCTCATAGTTGTCACACCTTTCTTATATAAGCCATGCAGTGTGCTCTTGCTCTGTTCAAACAGTTTGTTGATTTACGTCTAGTTTTCACATGAGCACAATCAAGCATATGGGATTCCAGTTTTTCTCAATATAAGCCACAATTTGTTATGATCCATACAGTCAAATGTCTTTATATAGTTGATAATACTCAAGTAGATGTCCTTCCGGTACTCTGTACTTGGAGCCAAGATCTATCTGACATTAGCTATGATTTCCTTGGTGTATGGCCCCTTCTAAACCCAATGTGAATCTCTACAAATTCTCTGTTGATGCACTGTCCTGGCAGTTTTACAAATAACTGCACCAAACAACTGACAGGTACTTAAAGTGAACAATAGTATCATAGAGGCATTTAGAAATAATAGTAAATGATGGATAGAGAAGCTTTGGTATATTCACACAAAGGAATACTATGCAGCACTGAAAAACAAGGAACTCTCCCCAACCCTCACCTCCTTGTACCCCCAGTATGTTTTTCCCAATAAAAGAAGAAAAAAGAAGAAAAAAAAACCAAGGAACTCATGAAATATTATGCAAAATGGGTGACCCTGGAAGACATTATGCTGAGTGAAATATTTTAGTCACAAAAGGACAAATATTGCATACAGCCACTGTTATAAAACAGGACTGACATCAGAGTTGAGGGAAGGCAGAGAAGGAGGGGAGGAATGATGTATGCTGCACTGAAACAGATGAGGGAGAGAACTATTTAAAAGGGATATATGATTGGGTATTAATGTCATGACAAGGGTCCAGAATGAAGAGTGTACAGTGGAGTGGAGTTGGGGGGAGGGATTGCATAGCAATGAAATAGTTTTACTTCTCAAGAAGAGTAAATAGGGGGAGGGGTGAGCAGGGAGAAAAGTGCAACAATGAATGACTGGAAACCCTAAGTCTCTGTAAATTTTCATTAAAATTAATAATAAAAGAAGAAATAATAGTAAATGGATCTATTCCTTTCTGTTTAGTTTTAAAAATGGAGAGATACTTTGCAGAAAATCTTAGGCTCTAATTACAACTCTGCTACAAATTTATTTACAAGTTACATGGCTTTCTCTTAGATCTCACATTCCTCATATGGAAAAAAATTATACTCACAATGACCCCATCAAATCATTTAATAGGTATTGTCTGAGTGACCTATATAATAATAATACTTTAAAAAATGCTATTTTCAATAAAAATAGTAATAATCCTATGTTGATGAGTAGTGACAGGGGTCTTAAAAGATTGTAGGCAGCCATCTAAGGAGCAACTGCTTTTCCCTTCCAGGAAAAAAAATAAGGAAGAGAAACAAAGATGTATATAAACAATTAGTCCAAAAGATTTAATGGGCCAGAAGAACTTCAACTTCCAAGACTGAGACAACAAGAACTAAATGGTGGCTGGTTGCTACAGCTGACTGCTCTAAATGGGATCACAGTAGAAGAACATGGAGAGAATGGGGGGCAAATGTGAAACAAAGCTCAAAAACGTAAAAATAGCCAGGCTTACTGGTCCAAAAGAGAACTTCAAATGTCCAAAGACTATGGTCCTCAGTCACATTGTGTACCTAAAACAAAACTCACCCCCGGCACTTTATTCTCAAAAATATATACGTCTGAAATGGAATGAAAACACCACAGAGTTACCCACTTCTTAGAATAACCAAGCATATAGGGTTCAAATAGCAGAGAAGACAGGAAGGTGTAGGATAGAGAGATTAGTGGAAGGTAATGAGAATCACTAGGAAGAAGTGGAAAGAGTACAATCATACTGTTGGAAATTATAATCAATGTCAAAAAAGCAAAATGTGTATAAATGGTTGAATGGAAAACCAGTTAGCTTTGTAAATATTCAAGAATTAAAACAAAACACAGTAAACAGGGCAAAATTCATACCAATGAGAAAAATGCTTTAACAAGTAAATGCTAGTATCATCAAAGTTAGTATCTTACTAGCAAGGATTAAAACATAGTCGCATGTAGCTTTTATTTGTCCATGTCATGATATGATTGGAACAAATGTAGCAGCAGTTACCAGCTATTAAAAGAACCAAAAACACCTCTAGGTTTAGTCTAGATCTAATCTATCTAGCTTCTATTTGGCTATAATATACTAAAAAAATTCAGTTAATATATTACAGAGTTAGTAATTTGTCTATATGATAATTTTCAAAGTACTTACCTATGAATCATGGTATGAGAATGTAAGTAGGCTAATCCCTGGAGAGCACCATGTGTAATTGCTGCTATTTCTACTTCTTGCAATGGCTTCTTGTGAACTTAAAATAAAGAATATATTTGCATTATATAGAATATCGCTATTTAAAATAATATTCCTATTCAGTAGATGGGGTAATTTTAGGACACTAACATTTAACAAGAAGGGATTTGCTTTCCAAGTTAGTAATATAAGTCTATAAAAGTCTTTAAATAGCATACAGTTGTGCCCAGCTGTTAGTATATTTCACAATTTTATTCTTGGCTAACAACAATGCTATATCTAGTGAGGACTGTACATACTATTCTGAGCATTTGGAAAAGACTAGTTCTCTCTTTTTTTTTAAAGTTTATATATTGCATAGTCTAAGAAATCTTTAACGGAATTCTTTTATTTATCCTTATAATTTTTTAATAATCCAAGGAAACTTACCTTCAAGTAAATCTGAAGCTGATCCTAAACAATATTCCATTACAAGCTGTAATGGGGAAAAAAAATAAAAATAAAAACATTAACACATAATTTCAAACATTTCATTTGAGATAAAATAAGTGTACCTGGGATATTTGGAGGACAGTTTAAAGTAACATAAGTACAAGTTATTATTCACCTTGAAAAAGAAATATTTATTCATTTATCAATTTGTTAAATGTATGTAAAAATTAAGCCAGTTGTACATTAATCTTTTAATGTTAAGTCACTTCATAAAAATGCATATAATTGTTAAAATTAGAAATGCTTATTTTGTTACAGTTATTCTGTCATAACAACATTGAAAATTACAAGGAAGCAGAATACTGTATTCTAGAATAATATGTACAAAACACAGGTTAAAGTTTAAATTATCTCTTATAAATACAGAGTGTATCTCAATTCAGAACGCATCATTTTTCAAAAATATTGAAAAAGGTAATCACCAATTTCATATGGAGAGAAAAAGAGATCTTGAATAAGTGATACTGAAGAAGAAAAGCAAAGAAACTTCACACTTCTTGATCTCAAACCCACTACACAGCTACAGTAAAAATAGCTTGATACTGGTACATTGATAAGATACAGATCTGAACCTTGCTCTATTCAGTGCCATCCTAATCATTGCTGATATACTTGAGCCCAATGTTACAGTCACTGTCAATCCACCTTCATGAGGGTTTTTCTCTCTTTCACTGATCCTCTACCTTGTCTAAAGTATTGGAACGATGGCCTTTTCTTCCTAACAACATGCCAAAGTATGTGAGATGAGGTTTTATGATTCTTGCCTCTAAGGAGCACACCGGTTGCACTTTGTCCAAGACATATTTGTTTGTTCTTTACGCAGTCCATGTGATATTGAGTACTCTGCAAACCCAGAAACAAATCCATCTACCAATGCACAAGTGATCTTTGACAAAGAAATTAAATCCATTACATGAAGAAAAGAGCTATTTAGCTTAAATAGTACTGAGAAAACTGCCTATTAATTTGTAGAAAATGGAAAACAAAAAACACAAGACCCACCCATACTTCACAACATATTAAAAAACTTATTCAAGATGAATCAAGGACCTAGGGGTAAAACCTAAAACTTAAAAACAACCAAAGGGAAAATTGGAGTAAACTTAGGAGTCTTAATCACTGGCATAAACAGACTACTAAATATAAGTGAAAATGTAAAATCAATTGATTTTTCAAGATTGAAATAGAAGATTTTAGGTGGGTGGGACCTCCTAAAATGTAAATCCTAATGTAAATAAAAATATTTCTGATGCATTTACAATGACATATCTGACAAGGGACTTGTTTCTTAAATTCATAGAAAACTCCAGTACTTCAAGAGGAAAATAATAACCCAATTATAAGATAAGCAAAGGACAAGACAAGACACTTAAGCAAAGAAAATAGTCAGATGGCAAACAAACACATGAAAAGGTTCTCAAGAAACTTAGGTTTTGTTGTTAGGCACAACTGAGTTGACAATAACTCACAATGACCCTATCAACAAAAGATCTAAACCTTATCCTTTCCTGTGCCATCCTCACCACCTCTGATATGAATGAGCCCAATGTGATAGTCACTGTGTCAAAATACGTTGTTCAAAGGACGCTCTGGTGACCTAGCGGCAAGAAGCTATGCTGCAATCCTGAAGGTGTATGGTTCAAATCCACCAAATGCTCTGCTGGAGAAGGGGCAATCTCCTTCTGTGCCAGTTGAATCTGATTCGACAGCAGTACACAACAAGGGAAAAAACCAACAACATTGTTCAGGGTCTTTTTATCTTTCCAAGTACAATGTCCTTTTCAAAGGACTGTCCTGTCCGGCCCAAAGTAAGTGAGACAAAGTTGCAGCATCCTTGCCTATAAGGAACATATTGGTTGTACATCCTTCAAGATAAACTTTTATGTTCTTTTGGCAGTGCCTGGGATTCTCAGTACTATTTTCCATCATCACAGCTCAAATGCATCAATTCTTCTGTCACTCACTCTTAATCAACTTTCTATTGCATCGAAAGCAACAGAAAAGACTATGGCTTGGATCAGGTACATCTTAGAATTCAAACAGGCATCGTTACTCTTTATCATTTTGAAAGGTCCTTCAGAGTAGATTTTCCCAATGTAGCATGTTGCTTGATTTCATGACTGCTGCTACCATGGGTGTTGATTGTGGGTACAAGTAAAAAGAAATCACTGACAAGTTCAATCTTTTCTCAATTTACCACAAGGTTGCCTATATGGCTCAGTGGTAAGGATTTTCGTTTTATTGATGTTGAGATGTAATCCATATTGAAAACTGCAGTCTGATCTTCTGCAGCAAGTATTTCAAATCCTCTACTTTCAGAAAGCAAGGTTATGTCATTTGCATAATGCAGACTGTTGATGAGTCTTCCTCCAACCTGCTTGGCATACAGAATGAATAGGTGTGGAGAAAGGATACCATCCTGATGCACACATTTCCAAATTTTAAGAGAGATGCAAATCAAAGCAACAATGAGATACCATCTCATCTTAATGAAAATGGCAGTGTTCAATAAGATAGCAAATAACAAATGCTGGTAGGGATGCAAAATGATGTAACCACTATAGAAAGCAGTTAAGCAAATCCTTAGAAAGGCCATGGAATTGAAATATCATTTGATCTAGCAAACTTAGTATTATTGTTTTGTGCTGTCAAGTCAGAATAGACCCATAGCTGACACTCCAGCAGGTTTTCAGAGGCAGTTAACTGCACAGGAGAATATTGTTCTTCAATCTCCTGCAGAGTACCTGCTGGTGGTTTCAAACCATGTGATTTCAGGATTGCAGTGCAGCTCCTTACCACTTGGCCACCAGAGCACCATAGCAATCCTACTACGAGGTACACATCAAAGAAATAAGAACTCCCACATGAACTGACATATACGTATCCATGTTTATAGCAGCATAATTTACAATAGTGAAAAGCTACAAACAACCCCAAGTGTCCATCAACATATGAATGGTTTAAGAAACTATGGTACATTCACATAGTGGAGTACTATGCATCTCTCATAAATGACCAAGAATTCATGAAATACTACATGACACAGATGAATTTAGAACAAATTATGCTCAGTAATATAGTCAGTCACAAAATGACAATTATGGGATAAGACCACTAATATAAAAAAAAGCTAAAGAAAAGTTTATAGACAATTTTGGAGAGTAAATGAGGGTTAAAAGGAAGGTAAACAGTTAAATAAGTAGGTAAACTAGGTGAAGGGAAAGGCAGTATACAATAAGAATTTGATTAGATTTTAATAGTTATACTAATCAATTGTAATTAATATTATAAAGCAAAATGCTTATGACTGAATGAAAATCCAGTATGATTTGTAAACTTTCAAATAAAAAAAATGTATATTCATTTTAAAAAATAAAATACAGAGTATATTCTACTGCATAGGGTTATTATATAAACAATTTTATGTTAAATACCATCAAGCTGAATCTCAATTTATTGTGGCCCAACAGGAGAAAATGCTGCCACAGCTCTGTTGCCTCCATGACCAACAGCTGACTGGCATTGTGAATGACAGGGTTTTCACTGGCTGATCTTCAGATGCAGATTGGTAGGCTTTTTACCCCCTTATCTATCTTAGTCTACAAGTTCTGTAGAAACTTGATTGGCATCATAGGAACCTGCAAGCATGCAGTGGGGTTGTGCAGGAGATGCATGAGCCAGAGACATAATCTGGGTACCCCATATTACAAGTCAACCAAAGAACCATCAATGACCTTGACAATCTTATCAACTATTGTTTGTTGTCAAGTCAGAACCAACACCTAATTGACTCTCTAGCTGGTTTTTAGATGCTTTCAATTACATGGGAGGAGACTATACATCTGTCTTCTGTGGAATAATTGGTAGATTTGAACCTTGTACCTTTGGATTGGCAACACAACTCGTACCACTAAGCCACCAGAGCTCTCTCTTATGAACTAGGTTCTCTTATTATTCCTTCTTTACAGAATAATAATTTTTTTTTTAAATCCAAAATGTGCTTATTGAGATGATTTTAGAAGTCTTGCTTTCCTCCTGTAGGCTGGGAAAGAAGAGTAGGGCAGTCCACACACAAAACTATCAGATGTATGTGGCTAAAGATATGGTGATTTGATAGCATCCTGGGCATTCACATCCTTGAAGTAAGAATTAGGGCCCTTGTACCAGGCACTTTCTCTTGTGTTTACTCTTGTCTTCTTCTGAAAAGGGATGAAGTAGATCTTTATAAGGGGCAAGTTCATGTGGAGAAGTTGTCACTGTGAGATAGTCAGAAAAATTTGAAAGACAGAGAGGTAACATATCCAGTATCATGGCTGCTTGTTTAACTATAGTCTCAGGTTTTGGAGTCCCTCCAAAATTTAAATTGGATAAAAATGTACTCAATATTGTTTTTGTTTCTATTATGTGCCATCGAGTTTCCTGTGACTCACAGTCCCTGTTTACAACAGCTCTGATTTCTGCTCTATCCTGAATCAGTCTTACTGTCTCCAACATACCTACCCTTACCCCAGTTCCTCTGTCAATCCATCTTATCTGAAGTCTTCCTCTCCTGCACTACCCTTCCACCCTTCCAAGCATGATGTTCTTTTCCAGGAACTGGTCCCTCCTGGCCAAGTGCCCAAAGTATGTGAAATGGAGCTTTATAATCTTTGTCTCCAAGGAGCAGCCTGGTTTCACACTTCAAAAGATAAATCTGTTTGTTCTCTTGGCAGTCCATGGTATGTTCAATGCTCTTCTCCAGCACAACTCAAAGGTATCAGTTCTTCTTCTGTCATCTTTGGTCACTGTCCAGTATAGCAAGTAATTGTGAAGACCATGCCCTGAATCAGGCGCACCTTTGTCTCCTGACTGACATCACTGCTCTTTAACACGTTGGAGAAGACTCTGACAGCCGCTTTCCCCAGAGCAATTCATGTTTTGATTTCTTGATTGCTGGTGCCAAGAGTGTGGACTGTGGACCTGAGCAAGCGGAAATTGTTAACAAGCTCCATTTCTTCTCCATCTATCAAGGTGCTGCCAATTGGCTCAGTGGTGAGAATCTTTTTCTTCTGGATGTTGAGCTTCAATCCATACTGAAGGCTGCAGTCCTTGGCCTTCTGCAGCAAGTACTTCAGATTCTCCTCAGTTTCTGTGAGCAAGGTTATGCTACCCTGAATATGCTCACCAAGCTGTACCAAGAAATCTGGACGACAACCACCTGGCCAACTAACTAGATACATACTTTTTTCCCATTCCAAAAAAGGGGACTCAACCAAGTGTGAAAATTACCAAATAATTTCACACACAAGCAAAATCCTGCTGGAGATTATCCAAAGACCATAAATACATTCAAAATCTAAATTTAAATTTAGTGTACTAAAATGACAATTAGCTATGGGCTTTATAAATTATTCCACAAAGAGTCCTTTGTGTTTAAAAGGAATTTTGCAGTTCTCTTAAATGAGTAATTATTTGTACAACTGTAATACATACTGAAGGTTGCAGTTTTTAATCTTCATCCTAAGTGCTTCATTTCCTTTACTTTCACGAATGCAAGGTTGTGTGATCTATATATTGCAGGTTTTTAATGAACTGTCCTCTAATCTTAATACCATCTTTTTCTTTCTTCCTATAGTTTCTAAGATTATTTGCTCAGTACACAGACTGAGTACACAAAAAAGACACACAACTTTGATATTTATCTTTCCTGATTTTAAACAATACTTACCAACTTAATATGTTTGAATGACTACCTTTAGTTCTATGTTGTACAGGTTTCACATGAGCACAATTAAGTGTTCAGCAATTCCTATTTTTCAAAATGTTAACTAAAATTCACTACAGTACTTTGCACTGTCACTAAACCATAGATAAAGAATGGCATTCTCTGCTTTCAGCCATGGTCCATCCGACATCGGCAATGATGTCCATTCCATATCCACTTCTGAGTCAGATACGACTTACTGGCAGTTTGTTACTGATATACTGCTGCAACTGCTTGTAAACTTCCAGTATGCAGATGAGATTACTTTGATCACTGAAAGTGAAGAGGACTTGAAACAACTGATGAAAATCAAAGACTACAGTATGAATTAGGATTCAGCATAAACAAAACAAGAATCTTTACAAATGGACCAATAAGCAATGGAAGTGGGAGTCAAGAATCCAAACCTTAAATTGGGCAAACTTGTTGTGAAATATCCCATCAAAGTATTAAAAACAAAGATGTTACTATTGAAATAAGGTGTATTTGACCTAAGCCATGGTATTCACAATCACCTCATCATCTACATGCAAAAGTTGGACAATGAAAAAGAAAAAGTCATAATGAATTGATGCCTTTGAATGGGCTGCCAGAAAAACGTCTTAGAAGAAATACTAGCTGGAATGCTCCTTGGAAGAAAGGAAGGCAAAGATTTTGCACATATTCTTTGCACATATTATCAGGGGGGATTGTCCCTGGAAAAGGATACCATGCAAAGTAAAGTGGAGGGTCAGTGAAGAAAGAGGAAGAGCTTCAATGAGATAGACTGGCAGAGAGGCTACAAGGGATAAAACCCTCAAAGACTGTGAGGATGGCACAAATATGGTACAGTGCTTCTTTCTGTTGAACATAAAGTTACTATGAGTCAGAACTATCTCAACACACCTTACTCACAAATATAATTTATAGCATTACACCCAGTTCTACAAGGTATTATTTTTCTTTTTAAAGGTGCTTTTTGCATGTCATTCATTAACACAATAGTTTTGAGGTACTGTTAATTCATTTCAAACCAAAACCAATTCAAGTTATGATAGGGAGAAAACATATACCTACCCATGCTGTGTGCTCACGTAAATAGCAGCCTTTGTATTCTATACTGTTAGGATGTTTTATTCTTTGTAAAAACTTGACTTCCTTAATAATATCCTGCCATTTCTGAGAGGAGGGAGGGAGGAAAAAGGAGAAAATTTATGCACAGTTGTTTGTATATAGAAAGTAAAGAAAAGGCAATTACTGCCTTAAGGAGGGCTAATGGGAAAATACAACTATGATTTATCATTTTTGGTATCAGAGGTAAAAATATGAAAGTTAAAAAAAGTACATTCAACTAGTTTACTACTCAAATAATCTACAAAATTATTAAAGTAGGATAATTCCTTTATGATAAATATAGAGTAATATAATAAGCTAGAGTTATAAAAAAAAAATCCCAAAAGCCCAGCAACTATAGCAAAGTTCAACAAAGTAGCAAACAACAAAAGCTGGCAAGCTCATAAGGAGACTGGAACTCTTATTCAGTGTTGGTGGGAATGTAAAATGGTTTAACCACTATGAAAAGCAGTCTGGTGCTTTCTCAAAAAGTTGGGGGGGAAAAAAAGAAGTTGGAAATAGAAATACCCTTTGTCCCAGCAGTTACACTAGGGGAATACACTCTAACAAAAGCACAACCTTGACTCAAAAAAGATGTACACACACGGTTACTGCTGTTTCATTCACAACAGCAAAAAAGATGGAAGCAACTCAAGTGCCCATCAAAAAATGAATGGTTAGAAAAAACATGATACATTCACACAATGGAATATTACACAGCACTGAAAACCAATGAACTCGTAAAACATTCCACAAAATGAGGGTGTTGGGATGACATTATGTTGAATGAAATATCTCAGTCACAAAACGACAAACACTGCATAACACTACTGTTATAAAACAGGACAGAAATAGGGTGTGTTGAGGAATGGGAAAATAGTGGATAGATAATGAACACTGCACTAGAACAGATGAGGGCAAGAACTATCTGGAAGGAATATATGATTAGGCATTATACATATGACAATGGTCTAGAACAAGAGGTGCATTACAGGGTGGGTTAGGGGAGAAGGGAGAAGAAAATATTCAACAACAGAAAAAACAATAAATATTATATTATAAAAAAGATAAAAAGAAGGGGCACATGATGGAAGCCTTTTGGGATATCTGTGATGCTCTGTTTAGGACTGTAACTCTAGTTAAACCGCGAGATTTTCTTTGTGAAAGAAATTTTTAAAAAATATAGCTTTGTAATGTTTATGTATGTTATATATCTTTAAAAAATTATCTCTCCCTCATTAAATTAAATGTCTTTTTTATTAACATGCCAATAAAAATGTATATACTTAACCTACCTCAGTAGACTGCTTTCCACTATAAGACATTTTCTTGATGGCCACCACTTCATTGGTACGTATATCTCGTGCCTGAAAAAAAGAATAATTGGAAAAATAGATCAAAGATGGACAATTATTTCTCTTGAGAATAAAACCATTTGTAAATTACCATGTAAAAATGGATACTAATACTGGTTTTACAAAACATTTTAATATAATTTCTAAAATTACTCATGAATCAGTGGGTTTTTTTATGAATCAATATATTTAAAAGAAAAGTTAAACAGGTTTACTCCTATTTATTTATTTAGCAAAAAATATTTTTTAAACTACCTGAAAATGAAAACATACATATTAAAATTTATAGAATTAATCTAAACCTCTACTTCCTTAGAGGGAAGTTTATAGCTTCAAATGCTTGCAGTAAAGAAGCCAAGTCCAAAAATCAGTGATAGACAAGCATGAACAAAGAAGAAAAATGGATTAAGAAAAAACCAAAAATTAATAAAGTTAAAAATAGGCAAAAATACAGAAAAATGTCAAAGCAAAAGTTATCCATCAGTAAAATTAAATAAAAAAATCGGTAAAATGCTAGTTCAACTCATCAAGATAGAAAAAGCATAAATTATCACTATCAAGACTGGCAAAGGAAAAAAAAGATTGGTAAAGGAAACAGCTAATGTTACATATGTAAGAAAATATTTGCTATTAATATTCTTCATATAGACAATACAATGACATCAATCATGCTATATAGTCATCATTTGTTTCAAACTTTTCCCATCATCCTAAGCATAAATTTAGTGCCTCTTAACAACCCTCCCCGACACACCCCTGACATTTACTAATCTTACATTTGTAAGCATTTGTCGATTGTAGCTATTTCTTACAAGTGAAATAGTATTTGTCCATTTGTGACTGACTTATCTCATTCAACATCTTCTTTTTAAGGCTTATTAATTTTGTTGCACCCATTAGGACAAGCACAAGAGTTGGGTGGTTCAAACTACCAGCTGCTCTGAGGGAGAAAGATGGTCAATCTTCTCTGATACTATTTACTGATTCTAAAGATCTGCTACAAGTCAGTTCTGACTTGACAACTATGAGTTAAGTTGACCAGGACATTTAAAATTAAGGACAAGTGCCTTAATTGATCCTAAAATTAAGACCACAACAGCCAAAATACAACTGTCAAATCTATATCCTACCTAATTTAAAAATCATCTCAAGAATCAGCCTGAGGAATTGAGGATCAAAGATGAGATGAATTAAGGAATCACAATAAAGATATCATTCATGAAGAGTTTCTCATAAAGAGAAAGAAGAAAAGACTAACATGGACGTCAGAAAAGATTGTGAAAATTGCACTAGAGTGTCAAGAAGATGAAAGAAATAGATCTGAAAGTAAAAGAGATGACCAGAAAGTTTCAAAGGGTAGTCTGAGAAGACAAAGCAAAGTATTACAATGAAATGTGCAAAGAGTTGGAGTTGGAGAACAAAAGAAAGGAGATAACTATTTCTCAAACTGAAAAACAAATTCAAGCCTCAAACTGCAATACTAAGAGATGCTATAGGAAAAATCTTTAATGATCCAGGAAGCATCAACAGAAGGTGGAAGCGATGCATAGAGTCACTTTACAAAAAAGAATTCGTTGATAATGAAATATTTCAGGAAACAGTACATGATCAAGAGCCAATTGTGATGAAGGAAGAAGTTCAAGCTGTATTAAAGACACTGGAAAAAATAACAACCTAAGAATTGATGGGATACCAATTGACAGGTTTTAATTAACAGATGTAGCCTTGGACATGCTCATCAGTCTATGCTAAGAAAATTGGAAGACAGCTATTTGGCAAACTGACTGAAAGTGATCAACATTTGTTCCCATTTCCAAAAAAGGTGATTCAACAGAATGTGGAAATTATTGAACAATATCAGAAACAATACACAAAGCAAAATATTGTTAAGATTATTAAAAAACATCTAGAACAGTACAATGACAGAGAACTACCAAAAGTTCAAGCTGGGTTGAGATGAGGCTGCAGCATCAGAGATATCACTAGTGATGTCAGATGGTTCCTTGTTAAAAGCAGAGAACCATCAGAAGAATGTCTATTTGTGTTTTATCAACTATGTAAAGACATTTAACTGTGTGGATCATAACAAACTATGGCTAACTTTAAGAATGGGAATTCTGTTGTTGTAATGTGTCGTAAAGTTGCCCCTCCAAGTCATAGTGACCCTATGTACAAAAGCTCTGAAGCCTGCCCTATCCAGAGCAAGTCTCACTGACTCTGACACACTACTCCCCATTACCCCAGTTACTGTATCAATCCATCTCATCTAGGGTCTTCCTCTCCTGCACCAGAACACCTAATTATGCTTATACAAATCTATACCCAGAACAAGACCTGTTGACTGAACAGAGCAAGGGAACACATGGTTTAAAATCAAGAAAAGTGAGAGTCAGTATCCTCTCTCAATACCTATTCAATCTGTATTCTGAACAAATCATTTGAGAAACTAGCTTTATGAAGAAAAGCGTGGCATCAGGATTGGAAGAAGACTCATCAACAATCTGTGTTATGCAGCTGACACAACTTTGCTTGCTGAGAGAACTTGAAGTGCTTGCTGTGGAGGATCACGGACTGCAGCCTTCAATATGGATTGCACCTCAAAAATCAAGAAAACAAAAACTCTCACTACTGGATCAATAAGCAACAAACACCATGTTAGACAGGAGAAAAAAACTGAAATTGTCAATGATTTGATCTTGCTTGGATCCACAGTCAACACCCTTAGTACCAGCGGGCAAAAGATCAAATGATATACAACACTGGGAAAGTCTGCTGTCAGGGATCTCTCCAAAATCCTAAAAGATAATGTTGTCACTTTAAAGAGTAGGTTATGCCGGATTCAAGTTAGTGTTTCTTTCTTTTCTTTTTTTTTTTTTAAGTTTTATTATTTTACGTGTACCATCAAATCAGATCTGCCTGGTACAGGAGGAGATTGCCGCCTCCTTCTCCAGCAGAGCATCTGGTGGATTTGAACCGCATACCTCTGGGATTCTCTATGAGGAGAAATGTGGGGTCAAGATTGGTGGACGACTTATCAACAATCTGCGTTATGCAGATGACAAAACCCTGCTTGCTGAAACTGAGGAGGACCTGAAGCACCTGCTGCAGAGGGTCAAGGACTGCAGCCTACAATATGGATTGAAGCTCAATGTCAAGAAGACAAAGATTCTCACCACTGGACCAATTGGCAGCATCAGGATGGATGGTGAAGAGATTGAGATTGTACACAGCTTTAGTT